GTTGCAGATGCTGAAACATTATTGGACATCACAAACAGTTTAGTGACCTCTGTAAAGTCACATGGAAATGAAGGAGTTACCCCTACAGATTTTATTACGTGTTTGCTTAGGCAGTTTGGGGATCAAGCAGGCCCCAGTTCTGGCACAGACTATAGTCGAAATTCCATTCGGTGGAAGGAGGTTAGCCATGCTGTCCCCGATTTCTTCAAGAGTGCTCCTGGATGCTGTACAATGTTAGTATTAATAGGTTTCCCTTTTTGTTCATTTTTTTTTGTTTCAAACCCTTTAAACTAATTTTACTTCTTCTTCTTTTCAGGATTGGGCCTATAAGTACTGAAATTAAGCAACGCAAGGTTGCAGTACAAAGAAAACGTGTAAAGCCTACTGGTAATGAACGACCAGAGGAGGTAAAGACTTTTCTGTTTATGTGACTGATCTCTTTTTAATCCTAGAGATTTGTGCTGACGCCTTCAGCTTTTTATTTAGCTTAATCTATGACAGGCTTCAATTCAACCATAGCTATTTCCATCCGCCATATAAGCAGCATAGTAAATTTCATTATAAATCCTTGACTATACTTTAAATCCAACTTAAATAGTTGTCATTGGAATGACATGAACAGACTATCGTCTATTCTAGTAACCTGTTTGGTATGTGTTATTTGGCTAAATGGATGACATCCTTGACTATGTGTTACAAGGCAAAGAAAAGTGTTCGGTAAATACCATTTCAGTCAAAATGGTGACATTCTTTTTGCTTATTCTCGAGATCTTATAAGTAGAATAGGCTGAAGTAGGCTCCTAATGGACCCTAAATATAAGAAACTAGGATGACATTATTGGATCTGATCACACATTTATTTTTACTTTTTCTGTAGCTTCCGGACAGCTCAGCAGACAAAAACACGGACACAGACAAAAATATGGCAACAATGTTCCAAATCTTAAGAAAGCACAAGAGGGTCAAGCTTGAAGTATTGCTGTTGAATAGAAGATCATTTGCACAAACAGTAGAAAATCTATTTGCTTTATCTTTTTTGGTCAAAGATGGAAGGGCTGCAATAACCGTTGATGAGAAGGGCGTCCACTTTGTTTGTATGTTCCTCCAAATCTACATCTTAACTTCTTTTACTATGTTTCTCTTCTGACTGAATAGTATTTTTTCTTTTTCAGCACCTAGGAATGCCCCTGCTGCAAACGCAATTCTTTCTGGAGAAGTTTCCTATTCTCATTTTGTTTTCAGATTTGACTTTAATGATTGGAAGGTACCTCGTTTCTCATACACCGTCTATCTCAAAATAGTTCACTTTACACCTCAATTTTTAGCCATATCTGGCTTGGCTTATTCTGATTACTTGCAGAAAAGTCGCATTAAATAAAATTTGACTTGCCTATCTGGCTGAAATGGGTTTTACACTTTTACCAATTGCCTTTCATTTTAGAAAATTGAGCAAATTTGTCCTTTTCAGCCAAATAACAATTATTGACTGGTCACAAAAAATTAAGTTGTATTTTATTTCTTCCAAGGTAAATTAGGGACCAGGCGGAATTAGCCTGGATTCCTGGAAGATGAGTAAACAAATGTGTGGAATTCTTAAAAAGGTCAACTGCTTTCAATAAAAAGGTTAAAATGGCAATGAATTTTGAAGTTAAGGCAATCATATTTTCATTGGTGTTTGTCTCTAAAGCTGGTAAGATTTGTTATTAACGCATTGCCCCTTCTTTAAATACCAGCTAATGCTGGCTTCTGTTGGGAATGGGGAGGAGTTAATGCCTCACAGAAATGAAGAAGTCCTGACTATGTACCCAGAAGCGGCACGAGCTAATGTTGAAGAACAATCAGAAAGAGGGACAACAACACCGATAAGGAAGTTGTCTAGGAACCGAGGTCTGGTTTTGCAGGAGCAGCAGTTAGTGGTGGATGATTCTCCCGAGGCTAGTGGAGAATCAGGAACAACAAGAGATGCTATCAGAAAAGGAAAGCGCAAGTTGTAGAACTTGGGTTAACTGTTCGAGGTGGGGGTCTAATTCAAGGAAGTTTGAATTTGATTTTGGGAGCTTCATTCAAGGCTTGGACTTTTTATGTGTTGCTATGGCTAGTTAATGTAACTTTTAGTAGGTAACACTACCAAGTAGACAACGATGCTAGTTTGCTAGAAGCAAGCCAGATGTACATAACTTGTTTGATTCTTCAGCACTTTTCTGCTTTTAGTTTTCTAAAATCTACGTGTCATTCATTTAACTAAGGGGTGTCCCCAATTTCGATTGTAAAGGAATTTAGAATTCCATAACAATCTTGGTGTCGCCAAATTAAATTCTTGATGATTCTGTGATCTTCAATAATTTCACGGTTTTTTTTTATTTGGATTGATATCAATAGAATTGCATATAGAAAACAAAACCAATCCATTTCATCCATAATTTCACTCACTCTAATTTGAAATCAATAAGACCTGTGTGCTCGGCCCAGGTTCTGTGCCTTTGTCGCTGGCTTCCTTTATTGTTTATTCACTTCCTACTTCCTAGGCATTTATCAATTATCATCTACACTTCCTCTTACAGTTTTATCTCCAAAAAATATAACCTACACCATTGATCCCCCGGTTTGTATGTATATATGTGTATATATATACGGAGTAGTTTTTTGAAATAGAAATCTATCCCTACTTCAGTTGTCGTAAAAAAGCCTATTGTTTGTCGCCTGCCCACTGCATAGTGCTCTACCTCACGACACTCTCAGCTACTATTCCCTGCCCGCTAATGCAGGCCTATAGCAGGCCATGTGCTCGGTTGTTCTGTTCCTCTATGGTCTACTTTGTATAGATTGCACACAGATACTCCATACGTTACTGGGCGCTAGGTCTTCAACGCAGGAAGCACACTGAACATATTGAAGTAAATTCTGTTTTACAAGATGAGATTCCAATCTTGGAAAGGCTCACTGGTGGAGGCATTGCAATAAGGATGCTGTTCCGTGGGCGGAACCTAACCCCAACCTATCATTAGCAGTTGATTGTATGGAAACGTGTTTCAAAGAATTGGAGAACTCGGTCTTCGTGAAAATCATTATGTATTTGACGGCCATATGTTTGGTGGAAATGTAGTCAAATCACAAAAAAATACTCCGTACGTGGAATCATCATAGGATCATACAACTTTTCTCTAGGATTATGCAATACATAATATGGCTTACCTCAAGCTTCCAAAATGAGCCTTCGACTATCCACAGGCAACAGGGCATTTGGACTTCATATCGAGAGCAGACATTATTAGTAGAACCAAAAATTATTTTTGTGTAAGACAATTGGAACCGGAAGAAGTTGAACATTGAACATGAAAATACACCTACTTGGCTGCTAGGTTATTGCAGAAGAGTTAAGAGGGGGCTGCCATTGTCCCATATACCAAGAACCTCATATCTCAGTCAATCTAATTCTGAAACTTTTATCATGTCATCTCTTGATTCTCTTGTTTTTCAAAGACAGCCCCACGCGTGGTGAGCTGTCTCCATATTGTAGTGTTTGTTCTTATAGAATGAGCTTTTGTCACTTTTAATCATCTGACTATTATGTCACTAACATTACTCGATTTTGAATTTTAAAACACTTAATCCTTTGAAAATTTTCAGGCGCAGAAATTAAGAAACGCTCGACCAAGATGTGTTTTTCCTATTCTGTCCTTGTTACAAGCTTAAAAGCAAAAAGTGCTACAGTGCTCTGACAATGGATAATTCCCAAGACCAATAATCACTTGCGCATACGGAGTAAATCTTACCAAGACCAAAGAGGCAGAAGCCATTAAAATGCGAAGAACATACAGATGGATTAAAAATTAAATTATCACCAAATTAATACTCCGTAAGATACAAATTGATTTTCTAATACAGATAATTAAAATTCCTCAAACAAAATTACAGATGATTAAATTTTAAAATACTTCTTGTGCGGTCATATTTCGAGGGAGACCAGGCGGAACAAAAAGATTAGCTCGCGATTAAAATCTTGAGGTCGGACCTCTGTTTTTCAGGGAGGACAGAAAAAACTAGATAAATGGTCTAGGAAGAAAGAACATAATGAGCCGAAAAAAAGAGATTGTGATAAAATTGGGCCTTTTATTTACACAAATAAAATAGTTTTGTATAATATATTGTATACGAGTACTATATTAATTATTCTGTATTATTTACTATTACTTTATGTCAAATTAAAAATTATTATTATTTTGGGAAAATTAAAAATTATCAATTAAAAAACAGTTTAAATAAAAGTATTTGTTAACACAATACACTTCATTTTAAATACTTTTTGACCATATTTCCAATGGATTATAACCAATGTTCTAATACTCGCAAAGCGGAAAATTTCATTGTATTCTTTCTTTTATTTTTTCTAAAGATATTTTTTAGCATGAAAGTCTAATGTTAAATACTACATAGTAGTATCTTACAACAATAACACATTTTTCTCATTTCCAAGAAATTTAGATTTTCAGAGTTCTAAATATGAAAAATATAAATTTAACTATTACAAAAAAAATGTAATAATAAAAAGTAGTAGTTGAATATATAAAAAATATTGATCTCTTTTATATTCCAAAAAATGATTATAATGAGATATAATAATGCCTCGTATATGAAGCAAACATTAATTGGCTAGAGTGGACCTTGCTGGAAGCCAGGGTATGACCATTGACCATCCCAAAAAACCCAAAAAAATACTCTGTACTCTGTAGCAATAGCATTTGCATTTTTGTGTCTTAAACACTTAATAGCCTATTCAATTTCCCAGACCAGCAAGGAAGAAAAGTTCCCTTCAGTATTGTTAAGTAAATCTTCTCCCGTTAAATGACTTATACGTGTGATTATTAGAGCATCTCCAATGGTTCCTCTTGAGGACTTGCTTGCAATTTTAAAGCTAATAGCTTACCACTGGAGCATTGCTTAACCTTTTGCTTGAGAAAGCTAATTAGCCAAAATGAGCTACTAGCTTGAGCATATAAATTATTAAATATAACATTATTAATAATAAATGAAGAGGAAGATGACATAGCTAACCATTGGAGTAAATTTTAATTTTGCTGCAAATGCTTACGTGGCTAATCAAGCTAGGAAGATAATTAGCTAACCGTTGGAGATGCTCTTAGGCTCTTATTATAGGGCTGGATCAATTTAGTAAGCCTGGTTTATTGGGCCGCGTCTGATGCATAGGCTGTTGGTAATTTTAGTGTCACCGGCCGTTTTGGCCGTTTTGTGTAATTGGAAATGACATGAGTGCCAATAAGAATTAGAACTATGATCTAATACAAGTTAGTAGGTGTGGAGTGCACACTTGTATATAAGAACTAGTTTAATTCACATTGACACTCATGTCATTTCCAATTACACAAAACGCGTTATTTCCAATTACACAAAACGGCCGGTGACACTAAAATCACCGGCAATAGCATTGCAGCTGTTTGAATTTCAAAAATGGCTTTTACGTCTAAAAAAGTACTTCATACTTCATCTTTTTATTCTTTTATTTATTAGAAATGCAGCCACGCACAGTAACAATAAGTTTAACTCGATCTGTAAGTGCCTCCAGCGCCAGGGGCATTATTATGAGCGGTGGTGCTCCAGCCTCGTAGTCCCTGGCATGGCGGTTCCGATTGGGCGAGACTCCACCACCCCTTCGATCACCTCTCCCACTGGAGCTCCAGTGCCGTGCCCCGGCATGGCTGACATCTGATGAGCGCCAGTCGGATGCCCTGCTGCGCCGGTAGTAGAATATGAGTACGATTTGCCCGCCGCTACGCCGGTAGTCGCCTCGGCTTTGTGTGCCATTAGTTTCTCTCGCTTCTCCAGCTCGGCCTGGTTGATCCTTTCTTCTTTCTTCTGTGTTGCCATCTCTTTTTCGAGTGGATCGTGCGCTGTCATCCTTTCCACCTTCAAACAACATGAAGGCGCATTTTTTAATAACTTAATTAGCACCCATCTGAAGAAGTATCATCGCATACACACACATATGCAGCATACAATGCATGCATATATAATTTCAAATGATCGATCACAACCGTTATGAACAAAAAGAGTGAATCTAAAAATGGTAAGTGTATTCCAAACAGACTCATAGAAAAAGTGAATTTTTGAAGTGAATTCATCCGAGAATATGCTCAATAGTTTTCTAGAATCCTTTCTTTTCTTTGATTTCTTCTTTAGGTTGGGCTTAGAAGAAGTCTGGCCCCCCATTTCACCTGAGTATGAAGGCCGGGAAGGGAAGAAAATGAACTTCACAACTAATAGTATGTGGGTCCCATGGGAAATAAAATTCTATTTTTCTTTAAAGTGTTAATTATTATATTTGGGAAAATTCCCGAAATAAGAGTAAATAAGTTTGAAACTTTCAAAATAGGACCGTCATATTTTTATTCCCAAAATAGGAATATTTTTATTCCCAAAATAAGAGTAATTACTGTAAAGTTTGAAAAATATTGTCATGTTTAAAGTCTGGTACTGCCAAAAGAAGAATAATTTGCTCTTTAGTTATAGAGAATTAGAGATACTTGAGGCTTGAGTGTAACTGTACTTGGTACCAGGGGCGTATCTGGCGTGGGGGCAGGGGCAGCTGCCCCCACTCAACCCCCACCCAACCCCATTATATATATATCAAATTTATTTTTGTGCATATACCATTATCTTATTCATAGTATATAAAACCGTTTAAGCTTCAAACTTCACATATTGAGTTCCGTAGCCTAGTGGCTGAGATGTTTGCATGCTCGCGTAGTTTGTCCAAGTTCGAATCCGCTCACTTGTTTAGTCCTAGTTATTTTTCCTTTTGAATAACTAGGACTTTCAGAAAGGTACAATATATTGTTAAAAAAAACTTATCAAAAACAAATAAGACCATAAAAAGCAAGAGAGAAAAATGTCACAAATTTAATCTTTGTGTCTATCTCTCTAATGTATATGTTGAGAGACTATATATAGGAAATACAAAGCTAGTGGCTATCGTGGCGCCAAAGATGATGTCACTCCGACACTAGATCTTGTTCGCTCGTATGTGGACTGTCTTGCTCTAAATTTAATTTTATTATAAAGTAGTGCGTATGGTAGTACGTCTATCCAATTCAATGATCATGTTTCGTATTCACTTGATCAACATAAATAATTATGAATAACTTAAATAATTATTATCAAATAACTAGGTCCATAATGTTCCTTATAGCCTGATGAACCTAGGCACTGCTAGAAGAGTTGACAATTTTATTGGTAGTTCTGTCAAATATGATGACAATCAATTAGATGAAAAGTGAGAGGCTTATTTGCGTGTTAGGGTTTGTATGGATGTGAGTAAGAATGTTTTTACTTGGACTGTAATTTGCCCCAGACGAGACCAGTCCAGACCAGACCAGAACAGTTCAGACCAGACTTGGATAGTTATAAAAATACAAAGAAACCAGACCTTACCAGACCAGACCAGATCAGACCAGACCAGCAAATTACAGTCCAAGTAAAAACATCCTAACTCTCTCAAGAAAGGAACAACTCTTAAGAAAGCAGGAATTGAGCATTGGGTGGATTTTAAATATAAAAAATTGCCCAATTTTGCTTTATTCGTGAAATTATTGGTCATGCTGATAAGTTTTGTCCTCTGACTTATAAGGATAACTTGATTTGGAGAAAAAATATGGAGTTAGTTCGAGAGTTTGTGGGGTGGTGAAGTCTAGTCCTACAACAGGAAACAAGTGGCTCGTAGAGGGATCCTCTAGTGCAGCTAAGAGTCATTCATCCAAAGAGAATTCCAAAACGGGAGGCGGATCAGGAGGGCAAGGCTGGAAGGAGTCTACAGTTGGAACAGGGGATAACACGACTAAGGATGGGGATCTAGAGAGCAATAAGGAAGTGTCAGACAAGCAGAGAAGAAGGATTTAGGAAGCACAAGACCAGAGTGGACAAGGCAGGGATAATATGGCTATTGACAAGCCAAAAATGGGGTGGAGGCGGTGTAACACTTGAGATTTAATATAAACGGATTAATAGTACTACTCATACCAATAAGGTGCATCTCCTTTTAAGGGAGCTCATTAACCAAGAACTCCAAAGTTAAGCGTGCTTGCACGGGAGTAGTCTTGGGATGGGTGACCCCCTGGGAAGTTTCTCAGGGCGCGCACGAGTGAGGACAAAGTGTGCGTAAAAGGCTAGTGGCGGTTTGTGAGGACAGTACTATTGGTCCGGAGTAACTACCTCGGGTCCGGTGGGGCCGGGGTGTTACAGGTGGTATCAGAGCAACCCTGCGACAGTGTGCTGATCCGTTGGATATCGGGCAGACACCTAGCAAGGGGAAAAGATTCTGGGATTTGATTGAGATTGGTTTAAGGGCGCAACGAGGACGTTGCGATCCTAAGTGGGGGTGATTGTAACACTTGAGATTTAATATAAACGGATTAATAGTACTACTCATACCAATAAGGTGCATCTCCTTTTAAGGGAGCTCATTAACCAAGAACTCCAAAGTTAAGCGTGCTTGCACGGGAGTAGTCTTGGGATGGGTGACCCCCTGGGAAGTTTCTCAGGGCGCGCACGAGTGAGGACAAAGTGTGCGTAAAAGGCTAGTGGCGGTTTGTGAGGACAGTACTATTGGTCCGGAGTAACTACCTCGGGTCCCGTGGGGCCGGGGTGTTACAAATGGTATCAGAGCAACCCCGCGACGGTGTGATGACCCGTTGGATATCGGGCGGGCACTTAGCGGGGGAAGATTCTGGGATTTGATTGAGATTTGAGATTGGTTCAAGGACGCAACGAGGACGTTGCGATCCTAAATGGGGGTGATTGTAACACTTGAGATTTAATATAAACGGATTAATAGTACTACTCATACCAACAGAGTTACATCTCCTTTTAAGGGAGCTCATTCCCCAAGAACTCCAAAGTTAAGCGTGCTTGCACGGGAGTAGTCTTGGGATGGGTGACCCCCTGGGAAGTTTCTCAGGGCGCGCATGAGTGAGGATAAAGTGCGCGGTAAAGGCTCGTGGTGGTTTGTGGGGACAGTACTATTGGTCCGGAGTAACTACCTCGGGTCCAGTGGGGCCGGGGTGTTACAGGCGGGCTCAGAATTCTAAGCCCACCGAAGGGAAAGACTCGGGCAGTAGGATCGGGATGGCGGATGGCCTTTTATTTGTGGAAGACGGAGAAGAATTTTTGGATCGGGATGGCGAATGGCCTTTTATTTGTGGAAGACGGAGAAGAATTTTTACTTTCTTGTTGTTGCGCTTGTTCTTTTATGATGTCGGAGTTTTTTTCCCAACTTGTTTTATTGTTGAACTGTAAGACTTTGAGCTTGGATTTGAGTGACAGGGAGTCTGCGGTGATCTTCTTTGGCTCAGTTGCGCCCATTAATGAATGGGCGATTTATATTGTTTTTACTGAGGTGATTAACTCTGAGTCTGCTTCGAGGCTCGGCAGTTGCCATCGGTCTTTTTGTCTTTTAACCCATATATGTATGTTGTGGTATCAATATAAGCCATCTTTGCTCAAAATATGTAACTCACATGCATTTCGCACGGTACATTCTTGAAAAAAAAGTCTCTAATGCGCATATGTTAAGAAACTATGTACAGGAAATACAAAGCTAGTGGCTATCGTGGCGCCAAAGATGATGTCGCTCCGACACTAGATCTTGTTCGCTGGTATGTGGACTGCCTCGCTCTGAATTTAATTTAATTTAATTATAAAGAGAAAAGGATCAGATGATGTCGCTCCGACACAAGATCTTGTTCGCTGGTATGTGGACTGCCTCGCTCTGAATTTAATTTAATTATAAAGAGAAAATGATCAAATAAGGTCTTCTACTATTATGAAATAGTAACCATGTACTCAATAAAGTGTCATATAAGTACCTCTACTTGTAAAAAGCAATCAAATGAGTACTAATGACCTATTTAACACGTCTTAATCCTGGTTTTAGCATACTTCTGACCATCTTTTTAGAACAGATTATACGACATACGTCGAATATTTAATTAAGATTGGTTGAAATACAAGTAAAAAAAATCGACATGTAAGCTAAAACCGGTATTGGGAGGTTGTAAATAGATCGAACTTATATGACACTTTATTGAGTACATGACCTTATGTATGTGACTATTTCATAATAGTAGAAGACCTTATTTAACCCTTTTTTTCAATTATAAAATACTACATGTAGTAGTACATCTATCTAATTCAATGATCCTGTTTCGTATTCATTTGATCAACATAAATGATTTTGAATAATTTAAATAACTATTATCAAATTTGTTGTTTACGGCTTTATAAAAATTCCTGAATATGTAGTTTTTATCAAGATAACTATTAATTAATAAAGAAATCAGATTTTTTTTATCAACCCATGTTGTTTGTTTTTACTTTCTATGAAACATTAAAGTCCTATTATTGCAGGTTTACTCCTGGTTAGATAATTTTCAGTATGATTTTATAAATAAAAATCCAAGAAAGGTTAAAGAAATTCGATAAAAATCAAAGAGCAAATTGGATGGGATGGTACATAATGAAAGAGGGCAGGGAGGGACCGACCTTTTCTTGAAGGACGGCTTTGGTTTTCTCCATCCCAGATACTGCCGAGGCGCCGATGTTGCCCGCTGTCTCTTTCACGCCCTTCATTCGCTGCTACTTCAATTTCTCCGATCTAATTTACAATTCTATACGCTAATTATTCAGCATGTATGTGTGTGTATATATATATACGTACTAGCTATATTACTAGTATTAGCATACATGTACGAAGTATTAATTAATTAATTAATTAATTAATTAATACGGACTCAAATAATATAGGTAGTCTTTGTCGTTGTATACACGTGTTGTATGTAAAAAAACGTGTCATTTGAAGGTAACGGGTGAGTCATGCTTTAATTCATGATTCCATCCTAGCTAGTGTCTTACACGCGTTGCATGATGTAATCTTTATTAGATTTTATATTTGTTTGTTCACTTTGGATGTTTTTTTTGTCCAAAATTTGGTGGTCAGGTCTGGCATGATCTGGTCTGATCTAGTAAACATCTGGTCTCTGTATATTTTGTAATTATGGAAGTCAAGGCTGATCTGATCTGGTCCAGTCTGGTCTGAGACTGAAAATGGCCCAAAAAAAACACTCTTGTTCTACATTGAATAAGCTTTGGAGCAACTCTGACTCTCGATAACTTTTTAATTAATGAGTATGAATTTACATGTAATTTTAATCACACATTCGATAAGAAAATAAAAAATATTATATATTTGTTGATTTCTTTTCGAAATAATGTTAATTAAATAAATAATTCCCGAAATACTGATAAATTAAAAATAATTTCCAAAATAGTGCTAAGTTAACCGTCTTAAGAAAAGCCGGCATTTGAAGTGATTGTTCTTCTCTTAACGGTGGTGGAGGCTTTAGCAAAAATAACGAAACAACCCAATCAAGTACGCAACATGTAATGCCAAAGTCAACCATATATGGTAACAGGTCCCACTCAAAATGAAAAAACTCCTGTTTTCTTTGAAGTGTTGTAACTATTTTATTTGTACTATGATTGTTACGAAAAATGTATCAAAATTCATAATCTTTTATTATCTTTCATATGACACCAATATTGAATATATAAAATCAAAAAATAATTTAACACTTTAGAATTTACTTACGTATCTGTTTTTAAAGTGATGTATATTTTTTTATTTGTATTCTGATTATTACAAAATATATATCAAAATTTATTATTTTTTAATATCTTTTATAGGAAAGCATTGTTTTCATATAGAAAAATAAAAATAAATCTATTAATTTGTGTAGTTTAGGATCATTTTTTACCATGCACACAATTAATCAAGAGTGATAGATTAAAACAAAATTATACAAACTCCATCACATTTATTTATTTATTTTTCGCACGAGAATTTATGTTGTTTTATTTCATATGACACTTATATTGAATATATAAAAATTCGGAGTGAAAACAACATAAATTCTGGTGCCAAAAATAAATAAATAAATGTGATGGAGTTTGTGAAAAAGAGAAGAGACGCCACTTCAAGTGGCGGCTTTCCTTAACCGTGGTTAACTCAGTAGCATTTTGGGAATTATTTTTAACTTAGCAGAATTTTGGGATTTATTTATTTAATTAGCATTATTCCAGGAAAAAACTCATATCTCGATCAATAATTCCTGCATGATACATATTGATTCAACATGTTATTTTCAGACTTTCTAAATAATAAGAAAAAATATGCATTGATATTCAAATTTTTACATGAATTTTATTATTTTCATATTTAGATCCCGTTAACTTATTTTCAGAAATAATTTCTAATATATAACTAAAATAAATTAAGAGACGAAGTATTTTTATGTAGTGACTATCTTTTAAAAGGTCTTGTAAGTTATACTCTAACAGTTATATAGTTTCTTTTTAGAAACTACAATTATATACTCTCTCCGTCCCTAATAAAACTTTCAAATAGGTTGGGCACACAGTTTAAGATAGTAAGTATTGTGTGGTGGAGAGTTGTGCAGAGGAGAGAGAAATGTGTAAGAAATGTTGTGAGCTACAAATTCTTTACCAAAAAGGGAAAATGGAAGTTTTAATTGGGACAGACCAAAAAGGAAAGTTGGAAGTTTATTTAGAGCCGGAGGGAGTAGTTATGATTCTTAATCAATATGAAGTGTGAATATTGTTAGGATTATGTAAAACGTGAGAAAGGTGCGGTGCACTATAAACTTGGTTGTATGTATTAATTTATGCATTCATAAATACGAGCATAACATTGCAGTGCAGTTGTACTTCCTTGGAAGCATGTGTGCTATAACATTATCACGATAACCTTGATTAGCAAACCAACTCAATTGTAATTCCAGAATATACATGAGATTGGAATGCTTATTTCTCACAGGGAAAGAGTACGCAACTCATTAAGCATATGGTCAGGACACCCCGTTCCACACACTCCTGTCACTTCAACAGGCCAATAACCACAATCGGTCAAAACATAGCAACTGAACACCCCTTGGGCACCAACCCGTGGGCTTCAAACATCAACATCTCGTAGATGACCCCTTCGCACATGCAAACCAGATCACTCCCAGCTTGGGGTGAGCCCCCGGGTAGTAGCCTTCGACTCCCGAGGGCGAAGCCTTCGGCCTCGACACAGAGAGCTTTCGGTCTCACGCTTCATAGCGCCCAACCATCACATTTAATACTACGCCACGTGCCCACGCTTGCTCCATATTGGTGCTCTCTGTCATAGATTAGTTTACATGTGTGCATTTAATGCACTTAGAATTTATGACTAGTATAAATAGCAACCCCATGGGCGGTTGTAACGGTTTGAATATTCATTAATACGATTGCTCTCTCTCTCTCCCTTACTTAACAACTATGCCTTCTCTCCAGGGACGGAGCCAACAAGGGAGGTGTGGTGTCAATTGACACCACTGAAACTTTTTCCCCTCATAAGTAGGTATATAAATTTTTTCGAAATTCTAAAATTGACACCACTGAAAAATAAAAGTTCCTTGTATAGGTGTATGTAATGTTTCATAAATTATAAACTGACACCACTCCAAAAGGATGTGGAAAATCTAGTGAACAACAATTACAACATTCTAAGAGAACTCGTGTTGAAGTTGATTTAGAAGCGCTTCCGTTAGATCCCGAACAAATAAAAGGAGTTTCTAATTATCATCCGGATGATCAAGATAAGGTATGAAGGAAATATTTACATAATGACCCATGTCAACCATGCAACCATACGTTCCCCAAAAAAACATAGGCAATGTTTTGCGTCGGTTTAACCGAAAGTGGTTTGATGATGATGGGAATTAGTTAGAATATAGTATATCAAAAGATCGGCATATTGCGTACATTGTTATCTTTTTAGACAAGACGTGGGAAAACAAAGTGGTGGTGAGGCATTTATAACGGAGGGTTTTTCTCATTGGAATAAAAAAGAGAGGTTTAATATTCATGTAGGACCTCCTAATAGTGCTCACAATCAAAATCAACACATTCAATCAGTTTTGATTAAACAGACAAATCAAGCTTGAACTGAATATCGTACTAGATTCACTGCTTCTACTCAGTTCCTCTTGTGTCAAGGGCTAGCATTTCGAGGTTGTGATGAATCAGAAGAGTCAACTAACCAAGGGATTTTTTTTAAACTCTTAACTTTTCTACCAAATCATAATAATAACATGGGAAAAGGGGCAAATAAGCCCTCGAACTAATAAAAAAAGTGCAAATAAGCCCTTTTGTAGGCGGTTCTGTCCGATTATCGTCATTTAGGGAGGTTTTCGGTGGAATCTTTTGATAATTTTTTTTTAACATCTTCTTCATTAAGTCTAGTTTAGCCATACCAAATTCCAGTTAAAAATTCAACCGGGAAGGCACTCAAATGATTTTTGGAAATATACTGCGTTGTTTAACTGCGTAGTTATCTTCAAAAATTCATTTGACTGTCTTCCCGATTGAATTTTTAACTGAAATTCGGTATGACTAAACTAGACTTAATGAATAAGATGCTCAAAAAATTTCATCAAAAAATTCCACCGGGAACCTCCCCAAATGACAATGGCCGGACGGAACCTCCTACAAAAGGGCTTATTTGCACTTTTTTGATTAGTTCGAGGGCTTATTTGCCCCTTTTCCCTAATAACATTCATAATGTTGTTTTGAATAATGCTCCCAAAAAGTTGAAGATGACTGTTCATAATATTCAAAATGACTTTATAATGAGTTTCTGAAATATACTGGGCTCTTTAATTGCGCAGTTCTCTTCAAAAATTCATTTAACAGCCTTCTTGATTGAATTTTTAGCTAAAATTTGGTACGAGTAAACTAGACTTAATGAAGAAGATGCTGAAAAAATTTCATCAAAAAATTTCACTGGGAACTGCCCCAAATGGAGAAGGCCGGACAGAGCCTCCTATAGAAGGGGTGATTTGCACTTTTTAAGTTAGTTCGAGGGCAGATTTGCTACTTTTCCCAAGAAAAAATTGTACAACGTTTTCAAAATATGAAAAACGCGTTGTGGACAGTTGTGCATTAGTACTTTAATTTATTAGTGACCATATTTGCTTTTTTGCTTTATATGTGTATAGACTATTATATAATAGTATTCTGCTTAAAAAAATAGTGCTTTGTTAAATTGACACCCCTGACATCGGTTTCTGGCTCCGTCCCTGCTTCTCTCTACATACCGCTAGTGATATCACGATATTAGTCATCTATCAACAACCTTCTCTCACCAAGACTTTACCAAGCCATTATACTCGTGAAATCAAATATACTACTTTGCCAATAGATGTTTTTTACTTGGAATCGGAAAGAAATTTTCTAGTCTGGTAAATGTTTGGTCTCTGTGTACTTTATAATTATTTGTTGTGAAAAAATAAAAATAAAATTATTTTAAAAAAAATTGTTACATATCCTTAATTCAGAGGAAAAAATGTTAAATTTCAAAGTAACAAAACATATTCTTCTTCTTTTTTATACCGGGATTGCATCTTGACACTCTTTTAACTAAACACATCCTTCATTGGTGTCTATGTATAGAGAAAAAATTCTATTTTTTGATATAACTTTTTATTTATTATACTCCCTCCGGTCCTAAATAAACTTCACACTCACTATTCATTGGTCAACTTAAATCACTCTTACT